GATGGAGCACAAATATATTGTATCTATCTCCTACAATTCTCCCAACTCTCTCGCTTCTGCTTAATGTCTCCCAGCTAGCCAAGTACCTGTTTGTAGTACTAGAGGCTCCTGCCCAGAAAAACAAACTTCCCAGTGAACTTGCACCCTGCAAGGTAGGCATGGGTTGGGATAAACTGACAGGACCAAGGTCATTTACAAAGTCAAAGACTGGTCTCCTGAGATCTCATCACCAACACCACTGTCCCTTCTACTGGAGTGTCTTAGGCTTTATTTTTCTTCTGGAGTTGCATGAGAAATGGCACTTCATATTCAGATGAACAGGGTTGTCAGTTCACCTTAATTAAGCCGAAGTAACTTGCATTCACTCATGGCCAGCCAGTTGTTGATACCTTTCCTTAGGCTAAACAGAAAATACTCTGAGTCTGGGCCTTCACTTCCAAGTAAAAAGTAATTGCAATATTCAATTCCTGCTTAAGTCCAGGCTCCTACCCTGCATATCTGTGTGAGATAGCATTTCCAGGGTGTGATTCATCTAAGCCATTTTAGATAGCCACCATACGAGAAGACCAATCACACCCCAAATGCCTTTTTCTCTCTCCTGACTATAAAAGTCAGATTCAGATCTCTACAGTAGTGTTGAAAAGGATGGGAGAGGATTTCAAGTCAGAGGAACACACAGAGTGGTATTTGAACTTTGATTCCTCATCAACAGTTATGTGCATGGGTTATTCAGGTGACAAGAGAGGACACAACACAGGAGAACCCCTGTTAGCTCTTGTCAGCCACTGGCACCCTCACCTGCTCAGTACTTGGATAATAAGATTCCACTTCCTTAACAGGCTGGGCAGAGTTCAATGTGATTTTGAAATAAAGCTTTCTTCCAAAGCACACATACTCCAGCATCGTATATATATATATATACGATATATATATATATATATATATACACGTATTGCCTTATGACCAAATCTGCTTGCTCATCCCACATGTGCAGCTCTTTGGGGGTTACTCACCTGCATATGGTAAACAAATTTGGGACTACAATGTGGATACGGTGCAAAATTTATGCTGAGTACATATTGTTTTATTTATACACATTTCACTGTTTCATTTATTCATATAATCTTGCACGGCACTTGCCATGAGGGAGTAAGGCAGCTAAGAACCATTCAAAGACCGAGCTGCACCTTTGTTAGCATTATTTTCTCTGTATAAAAGATGAGGAACTGAGGCACAGAGCAAAGGCATGACAAGGACAAACAGGGAATCTGTGGCAGAGCTTGGCACAGATCCCAGATCTTCTCATTCACAGCTCACCTAGCCTAACACAGGCCAGCCCTTCCTCTCAGGCAGCAGATCTCAGAGTATTAGTCATGACCTAGACAAGTGGGGTTGCAAACCCAACAGGATTTCAAATGCAGAAGCGTGATCACGAGCTGACAAAAAGGGTGCCCAGTCAAAAAGCTTGGGAACAGCTATTTTTGCAGCTTGTTTATAGGACAAAGCTTTTAAAACTTCTACCACTATAGTATCTTGAACAGGTACTCTTGTACCACAGTAATATTATATAATTATATTTAGAGACTGGCATTGTGTTGGCTTGGCTTTTCTTTGTTTTTTTAGCATGCACAACGCCTGGAGGAAATGCAAGGCACTTTCAGTCCTGGGTTACCTGGGATCCTGTATTAAAACACATGCAACTGGCATTCAAAATGTATGCATTTCAAACCACACGGCAAAAAATTATTCCTGATGAAAATGAAAAAATAACTTCATCTGGCTTTAAGTATGCTTTCAGCTCTCACCAGTGACCTTGATACAGATGGCGATCAACCTTATGACAGACATTTATGGTATTTCTTACAGCACAATAAACAATGGAAAATAATTGTCCCCCAATATTCTTTGAATGCATCAATAAATTTTGATTCAACAATATACACAACCTGTACTGTATATACTTTCAATGAACATTTAAGCGGTTGTGTTTTACAAGTGCAAATACTTGTGAAAATCTAATTTTAAGCTTCAACGTTCACTGAAAGCCAGTTTGAAACCTGTCAGAAACAGAATGATGCGACTTACGTAATGGACGCATCACAAACTGGGACGATTCACAAATGCCTATCAGACAAAGAATTACTCATTGGGGAAATCAACCAATCATTTCAACACACAAATAGGACAATGAATTTTACATCTTGGTCAAGAACAAGAAAAAGAGGAAGATTTAATCAGTGATGAAATGATCGTTAATCAGTGATCAGCCTAATTTCATTGAGTCTCAATCTGCAGGCTCTGAGCCTGTGGAGAGTTAGGCATGTGATACTCTGCAGGTTGAGGAGTTCTTTAGAGTCTGAAGTTACTCGGAGAGCAGAGTTAAGCAGGGACACAAATCTTTGCAGAATCCTAGCCTGAGTCAATTCATGGAGGCTAATCCCTTCCAGTTTTTAAAGATTTATGCAAGTGTATAACACCTGGGAAACTTCATCCCCAGCCATGCATGGTACAGGCAGAGTGCCAACATCAATTCCCATTAAGCACAGAGATTGGAAGGATACATCAACATGCTCTTTGTCGAGAGATCAATGTAGCTGACAGCTCCCTGGGGGGCTGTGCCCTTCGCCCTGCTGCACTGCCCACCTACCAGCAGGAAGCGATGGGGACACACAGATCGTGGTGCATCTGCCCCTCTCCTTCCCCTCTGCCTAGCCACAGGCTTTCAAACTGCATTTGCTCTGCAAAGTGAATGCCTCATCGCACCTCCAGTCAACCAGCACCACTCCTGTTGCTTCAAGGGATGAGGTCTTACGTTCTCATCTTGTCTCCCTGCTACCTAGGCAAGCTTAGACCATGCTTTCCAAACCCTCCATACAGCAGGTAATTCTGCAAACATCCCTCCAGTCACTGTGACTGGATGGACTGAGATTTTTCTCCCTGCTCTCTTGCTTCCTCAGTGCACAGGGGGAATACTGGATGGATCTCATCCTGGTACCAGAATAGTGATAGAGCCCTCTGAGTCATTTCATGCACTCAGTGAGGCGTGGGCTTCTCAAGGACATGTTGTCACCTGGGTAGAAGGGAGTTAGTGAACGCACCACTGACTTGGAAAGACGCTCCTATGTGCTTCCATCTTGTGTACATATCCTGAGCTGAACGTAACAGGAGCTGAAAATATGGTCCTGCTTCTGTTCACACATGGATTTTATGAACTGCTGTTCCTTAACTTCGGTCCTCTAGAATAATCCCTCTACTTTCAGAGAGGGTCTGAGCAGAATGCAGTAATCTTGACTTCTCTGAAAAGTCACATGCCGTTACACAGCTACTTCACTGCTCTTTCTGGATGGTGCACATTTCAGGCAAGAGTGAAAAAATGCCTTATTTATAAAGACAGGGATCTGCCGGTTTCAGTAGGGTGCATGTAACTCCCTCAGGCTCTTTTGGCAAATTCCGGCCAATGAGTGTTAGACACAAAGGGGATGGAAAGTGTTATGATGATGCTGTTTTGAAATAGTAGAGGATGTCAAGTTGAGAGAACAGGCAGCTCTCAAGTCTGATTGCCAGTGAAACAAGGGCAGCACCAGGATTTTTCAATGTACGACTCTGAAGGTCTCTGCCTTTTGTATGACATAGGGACTGATGTTCTCTCAGGTCAGCAAAATGGCAAAAGGAGAGGTGGACAATGCCAGAGCTCTGCACCAAAGGGCCTGTTATTCCAGTTGCTCTGTTCTACCTTCTGACCTTATGGTGACACTTTGCAACTGTCTGTGGAAGGGAATTTCTCCTAGGGGAAGAAGCATGTGAGGTTCTTCATGCTGGTTCAGAATTTTCCATGAATTTTAGTTACATGTGCAGTGGTGCACAGAGCAAAAGACAGGACGCACAGGATGCCCTGCCCACCTGTATACACAGTCACAGACAGCATCAGGCTAGGAAGCTGAGGAGCACTGATCACCTAAAGCTGAAGAATTTGAGATAAAATCAAGCTGGCCCATCCCTGGTCGTGCCTGACATTACATTTTCTTAGTGGTTTGTACAGTCTAATTTAAATAACCCAAATGATGGGACTATTGCCACTTACACTAGGGCCTCATTAGCGTGGGCTTTGCCAAACTCTACATATTTAGCTCATAACCTTTTCCTCAGGGGTCACACTTTCTGATTTGCGGCAGGTAATGAGATGCACAGAATACAATGTTCCTGGCATGAAAAGCCCCAGAGGCACTGCACCCCTCGCTGGGATGCCAGCTTATTCTCTACCCCCCACCCCCACCCCATTATCCTCCTTGCCTTCTGCATTGTACTCAGGCTTGCACTGACCTTTTTGATTCTGAACGGCAATGAAAATGCATGCAGTCTTAAGAGATGTATAATAAGAAGCTAAAGAAGTTAGACTGAAATGCTCAGTCCTCAGCTCTGCAAAGACTTCTTGCACGACCTTGCATAAGTCACTTAATCTCTCTGTGTTAAACATCTCCAGTTGTGACCAAGGAATGTTATCCTGGTCTCCTCTTGTTAGACAAGGATGTTTGCAGCACAGGGTATGTCTCCCACAGGACAGGAGAGCATCCTGGGGTGGGTCACTATAAACTATAACAACCCAGTAATACTCCGGTTAATTGTGTTTACTTTGGGCTGTGGGAGGTTAGATTTTTATCAGTGGCATATTTACATATTCTGAGCTAAATCTAGTGAATTCACCAGCATGGCCCTGACGGCCTCAGATTGCAGATCTCGGTTCTTCAAAAAGACCTCTTGGAAACAACAAATGGAAGCAGAAGCCAGCAGAAATGTATATGTGTGAGAGAGACAGCGAGAGAAGGATGTGGATTTAAGTGACTGTGAATGGGGCTCCTTGTAAATGCTGAAGTCAGGCAAGGAGAGACAGGCTGGGATCTCCTTCAGTTCCCAACTCCAGCAAAGGAACTAAGGACCAAACCTGGAGATGGGGTGCCAGGGCAGCAGGTAATGGGAAGGAGACCCTCACACCTTCTACTCACCAATTCTGTCCAGCCTGTCAAGAGCCACAGTTTCAAAAGCTCGTCGCATCATGGGATACTCTTCCAGCACCTCGTTGAAGTTGTCCACTGAGAGGGAGTAGAGCCGGCAGTAGGTATCAGCTCGCACGCTGGCTGTGCGCCTGCCACGGGTCAGGAGGCAAATTTCTGGAAGGAAAGACCCAGCCTGAGAACATGGGGACAGACACCATGAACCCTGCGATACACAACGTGGCACTGTCACTCCCAGGCAGTCCTGTCTGCCACCCAGCCTCCTTTCTAGCTGGACTCTACCTGCCTTCCCACTGAAAACATCAACTGTGGTAATATTCTGCATACGTGGTAACATTTAAAAATACCAGGGGGCTCAGTTGTGGCAGCTGCTACACACAGTTGCACCTCAGGGATTCTGCTGATCTAATTAGCCAGACAAGTTTTGTTGTGGTGGATTATCAAAAATATGATTTGTGCATTCAAACTGGAGGAGCTGTCTTTCTGCAGCTCCTCAGGGGCACTGGGAGCAGAAGGTCAAGCCGTGCTCTCATTGAAGCTAATTCTCTCTCTAGATTTACAGTGAAGGCTCTGTGCTGACCTGTGGCTTTGGTGCCTGGTAGTAATTCTGATCTCCACGCCCAGAACATTTGTCTTTTCAAAAATTTTCAAAGTTTTTTGCCACAAGCTTACAGGTCGTCAGGGAAAGCCAAGTTAGTGGCACCTACTAACTCTAGGTGTATTAACATTGCAGTCATCGACTCCTAGGAGGATGCTCAGCTGGTTACAGAACAGACAGCCCTTGATTCTACCATAAATGCCTGACTTGGGCACAGAGACTCCTTGAACACTCAGCAGAGAGCTCCTGAGTCCTGCTTTTCCACTGATTACACACAGAGTATGGGCAGCTAAGACAGGTACTTAGAGAGACGGTGTGACCTAAGGACTGACAGCACTCTTCTCTGTGCTGTATCTTGGGTGTCAGTCCACCAGCACCACTCTCAGGATTCATTCTGAGTCTACCCCAAAGCACTGGTACAGCAGCACTACAAGGCTTTAAGTGTGTTATTAGGCTGCTCTCCTAAGGAAATGATGCTTCTGAGACCACGTCATGTGTGTGAGGAATTGTGTGTGTGGTATCTAAAAAACATTGAATGTGATGGGCAATTTTAATCAAATCTGTCTGAGTCAGGATATCCTGACTTCAACCCTGTAACTTCAAATCCCAGCAAACTGACCCAACTTGCTAGGGACATGCAAAATCCTTGTACTGCAGGTAGGCGCGGACAGGTTGTTTCACAGGAACTAAGAGTCTAAGAAGAGTGTAGGAAACACGAGAGGGATTTTTTAATAGAGAAGAGGCCTTATAGACAGCAAGGAAAGGCAGATTTCATTTTGCCCCCTCTCAGTAGGCCATTAATTGTGGTGCATTCAGTGCTTGTACTGAAACATGCATCTTCCAAGGAACTGTCTGTCTTGGGCTGTCAGTGAGGTCTCCACAGGGCTCTGATAGGAAGGGTGGGTGTCTCCATGTTACTCATAAGAGCAATAGCCTAAATCTTCTCATATAGTTTTTTCTGACCTCATGCTAGTTTCACTGTTCCAGAGCTCTGCTGCTGATACATTATGCCTGCCTGATGGCCTTCACAACATTTTACTGAGCCACAGGCTGGGGAAATGATGGACTACATTTTTTCCTCCGTGTTTATACAGTACCTCGTGTGATAGATGCCAGACGGTAGGACTAGGCAACACTATAAATGTGCTTGGAGAATTGAGAATGCTCCATTTTTTTCCTCTATGTTCTCATCTTCACAGATCTGTCTGTTTGCTTGGGGCAAAAAGAAATGAACCTATGAGAGCTAAGTTTCCCTTCTCTGTTTTGTTATTATTTATTATCTAGACTTCTGACCTGCCCATGAGTCCCAGTCACCTCCCATTGGACAATTTACTATATGGGAAGCTGCAGGACAGGTTGGAGGAAGAGGTGCCTGGGGTACCAGTTCCACATGCTGCCATCCCTGTGCATCCAGGACAAGGAATATATGAGCAATAGCAGTGAGCATTGCTGTGGGTGACTGACCAACACACACCTCCGAAGTAAGAGCCATCTGCCAGCTTGGTCTCCTTGTTGCCTTTGGTGAGGACGCTCACCACCCCATGCTGGATGAAGTACATCTTCTTGCCAATGGTGCCCTCCCGGATGATGTAATCCCCTGGTTGAAACACTTCGAACCGCAACTTGGTCAACATGGATGTCACAAAGTTGGGATCTGCGTTGGCAAAGAGGGGCATGGAGGCAACCAGCTTCCGGCAGTTGAAGTTTATGATTTCCTGACCACAGTGTGATGCAGAAGAGAGAGAGAGAGAAAAAGACAAAGAGGGAGGTGGGGAGAAAAGATAGGACAGGGAGGAGAAAAGACACACATATGTTTAGTCAACATCCAATAACCTATGAAGACCCCACACACACTTGACCTGTACATTACAAATTGGGAAACAAAAAATGCTGTTCCCTTTGTCTGGATCCCCCAGTGCAGGCTGGAATGGGCTCTGGATGCTCAGAGCACGTAGCAGTGCAAGCTAGAGCTGACAGCCTGACACCATGCTTCACTGCTTTCATTCACATGCGTTCTCTCTGAGCAGGGACAATACCCCCAAACCTCCCAAATACACACAATATACCTCTTTCTGCAGGAAACCTTGGACTGAGAGGTGCATAGCACTGGTGAAATGCGGTATGAAAAAGCCCAGGGCTCCTCTCTGGGATAATGTTATAACTCACCTTGGCAGCCCTATGTTCTCTGTTGCCCTTGCTTGTCAATGAGATATTAAACAGCATAAATGTGCCAAGGCACTCAGAGAAAGAATTATCCTGGGCAGATGGGGACAGCGTCAAGAGAGGGGAGGGAGAGGTGCCCAACAGTCACTGGGGCATGGGCTGGATCATCAAGCTCAGATGAAGAAAACCCAATTCAGTTGTTCAGCTGTCATATAGCAGACAGGGACTGTGCCTCCTCCTGTGGCTTGGTGTCACTCAGAGGGTATGACAGCACTTTCCACCACACAGGATCTGCTCTGTGCCATGTCAGCTCAGACTCAGAAAGCGGCAGAAAGCGATACTGAGTAAATCACCTCAGCACAACGCTCCCCAGCCAAGCTGGGAAAGAGCATCTGGATGACTGGAGCAGGAAGAAAGAGGGCTGGGGAAGCATCTGTCTCCTCCTTGGTGGGGCTCTTTTCAGGGTTGCCCTCTGAGGCTTTGGCAGAACTAGTTTTAAAATATGCCTGGTAGATCCTCAGCTCTTCTCTCTTTTATGGAGGGACATTACTGGGGGGAGGAAGACAGAAGCAAGACTGCTTCTTGTGCTTGTGGGTAACATATTGGAGGCACATGCTAGGGAGAGCCTGCATTCCTAGGCTTCAGCTAGGGAAGGGGCTTTTCTGTAAAGACTCATTTGAAGTGTGGGCCCTGTTAGAAAGCTCCTCCTTCCTTTGACTCTACACGCTGTTACAGCTGATGGATGGGGCACAGATGAGGCCAGCACACCGCACGGGGATTTATATAAATACAGGAGATACAGCTTAATATCAGGTAGCGTGAGGTGGCGGCATACTGGGCCGCCGTACAAGGCAGCAGTGGGTGTTTGTGTGGGGTGGGAAGGGGGCTTGCAGAAGTGTGAGGTAATAGCAAGGCACTTTCCAGACTGCTCTCCTGCAGGGACTCTTTGGGAAAGGGGGTGACATTGCCAAGCACTGCTATGGCCTCAAAAGGTGCCAAGATGTACGTTATTCACATGCTGAGTGGGTGGCGGGGCCGGCAGATTGTTGCCTCCATCACCTTTATGACAGATGTCACTTGTGCTGCAGCAATTAACAGACTCAGGCAGGAGTCCTGCAAATGCCAAGGGCCTGGGTTTCTCTCTCCACAGCAGTGACTTCTGCCATGACCAAGGCAAGGGAACACCAGACATATACCAATAGCTAGGACAGTCACACCCTCTGAATGAAACTGTCTCTGACAGAGACACAGCCAAGCTGTGGACCATGTTCTTCTTGGCTTTGCTCTCCCTGAAAGTTAGGCACAGCACAGGAGCAGGTACAGCCTTGAATGAAATGGGGCCTTTATGGCTGCTCAGACACATGGATGTGCTGTCTCTGCTGGGCATGACACTAGAGCACACACAGAGGCAGTACTAAGGGGAAAGCTGGCCTTCCACCACTCCCATCACCTGATGGTGTCCTCTGCAAAGCACTGGGACGGGACACTGCACACCGGGAACTCCACAACTGCCAAAGAGGAGAGGAACATGCATTGCCCATTCACTGCTTACCTCTCGGAGGGGCTCACTCAGCTCTCCCAGGATGCTCTCTTCATCAAACATCTTCCCCTGGTAGCGGTGCTCATAGTAATCATGGATGCGCTGCCGCATGTCTGCGGGGAGCTTGTGGAAGGACATATATTGCTCCACTTGTTTGTACTGCACAGGGGAGACAGGAAGAGAAGGAATTACCAAGACATGCAACAAATGGCACCTGCTCACGGACAAGCACATGCTAGACCATACCCATACCTGCCTCCTTCATGCCAAGCCAGGCCCTGGCAGATAAATCTGGTGTGGGAGAGAGCAACTGTGTGAACACACGGGGAGTTTGCCGACATCTTTGTTATATTCCCCAAATAGCTGCCCCATGTTTTAACCTTTAAACTTATCCTCAGCCAGTTACACTGTGGAGATAACCCCTCATTCCCTGGGTGCTGAGCAGCCCAGGCGCCCGTTCTCCCCTACACACACAGCAAAAGCTGGGAGCAGAGATGAGTAAGAAGTGCCGAGCTGGGAAACTCCTCGCAGCAGATATTGCTGAGCAAAGCCTGTCCAAACCCTGTGCAGAATGAGGGCAAGGGAAGTACAATGTGCCCTCTACAGAAGGTTTTCCCATGGCACACGGCAGAATGGCAGGGTGTGTGACCTGGCAGCTTGGCTTGAGACAGGCAAGTGATGCACAGCACCTCGAGGCCTCGGCTGAGCACAGGAAGCCACTGCACCAGGGGCTGCAGAAAACAGCAGACCACAGCTCTGCCTTGGAAGTTCACAGTCACAGGCAAACTGAAGGACACAGGCAGAGAGAAATCTGAGTTATTCGGTTGAAGCTGCAGTACCTTTGGCCTGCTTCCTGCTTTTCCTCTCCTCCGTGTTCTTGCCTGCCCTGTTATGATGGCACCTTTACTTTCCTCCCTAGGGCTGCATAGGGCCTGATTTTCTTCGCCTTTCGCTGGGTCTCTACTGCCCCATGCACTTGTGCTATCTAACCTGTCCATATTTTTACCTAATGATTTGCATTTCCATTATGTCGCTTAGAGGGGAATACAAGGGCACACTCTGACTGATGCCAGAGCAGTATTTGGGGATGAATGGTGCTTTCTATGAATAAATGACACTTCCTCAAGGGCACAGGATTGTAAATGAGTCCGTTCACCTTAAAGGTGCTGCAGGGACAAGGTGTGTGCATTGCAATGGTCATGCTCCCTCCCACTGGCATGCTGTACAGAATATGGTCCTGAGCGTATACCATATCAAATAACACTGACAGAAGGACCATGGTCGTGCTTTGCCAGCCCTCTTTCCCCTCTCCTCCCCAATAGATCTGTCCCCAAATGCCCCTTTACTGCAGCTTTTGCTGAAGAGCCTAATTACCGAACTTGTGCTCATTACAGACCTCCCCTGCACACATCAGTGTCACTCTGCTCTCAGCACCGTCTGTGCTGGCACTTCCTTGCATGCTAACAACTTGATCTGCACCAGAGAGGAGACGGAATTACTCTAAGAAGCCAAGGTGGTAGAGGGGACACTCGGGGTTTCCTGGCATTTCCAGAGCTTTTTGTCTGTAGCTAGCAGCAGAAGAGCTGGCTGTAAATATTCATGATCACTACAGCATGATCAAAGTCAAGCAAGTCACCACCTCCCCACCGGGAGCCAGGCAGAGAATTGGCAATGAACTTTATTATTTGGATTGCTAAAGTTCTGTAGAGACTGGCAGGATGCTGTGTCAAGCAGCGCTATGCTGGGCGCTGCGCAGAGTCTGCAGCTCGTGGATGAGGGAGATAGAGGGAACAGAATCCAGCATCTCACACGTGGACAACTCACAGGTCTGAGCACGACAAGAATTTTGCAGGTTGTGTTCTTAAGCACAGAAAGTTTAAGGGCTTGGCTCAGATGCCTAAACACAGATGTCTACTGCTGCTGGAGGCGCACTGCAGCATTTGAGACATCCATGGGACCTGGCAAATCGGACATAGGACGTGCAGGACACTCATTGTGGAAAGGGAAATCATTAGGCACTAGCTTTTGCTGACTCAGGTTTATTAAATTTGTCCTAAATCCACAAACAGTTCTGACTGTTTTTAATGCTGCATTTTTGTTGAGTAAGTTATTTGCCAAAAATAACACTTTGTATTCCCAGTTTTAGCCCAATATCTTGAATTGCACCATTGACCAGTGTCACAAGATGCCTCTCGTGACCTACTGCCAGCCATCTGCCCGCCACCCCTCTTCTCTCCACCATAAGCCCTTGCTATCAATCTTCAACTTACCTTTGCCTCTCGGGAAAAATACCCCTAGCTTCTCAGATTCACAAGCACAGGTTGGATGGGGTGACTCAGACTCTGCTTATTCACTACTCTACATGGATTTATTGCTTTGTAACAAAGGGCAATGAATTACTGCTCTGCAAAGTCCCTAGGGTTTGTCAGATTCTCCTATATTCACTGTCCCTAGATAAGGCTCAGAGTAAAAACAGGATAAATTTACTTCACCAGAAAAAAAAGGTTCTGCTTTTGATTACAAATTTAAAATATGGCTATAAAAGAAAATTGTAAAATAAGAGACCATAATTCTCTCTCACAGTTAACATGAGGTACTCATCTGGGCTTTCCTGTCTTTGTTAGTGCTAACTCCTCTCACCCATGTAAACTGAAGAGTTTTGTGGGCTCTTAACTCTCCCTTGCACAGAGATGGAGTCTGCAGAAGTGCTCAAAAATGAAAGCATGAACCCCTTCTCTCTGCATTTTATAATAAACTGAAGATTCATGTAGGGTTTTCCCCCTTTCCTTGGAGCTGCTCAGCAAAGCTGAAGGCCACCACTCTTGCAATGTCAAGCATCAATAATGACTAACAAAAAGGCCTAAAAAAACACACGAGGGAGGGCCTTTCAAAGTGCAGTGGGATGTACGTGCCTCTTCTCAGCTCCAAGCTCTAAACGAGATCACTCCTGAAGTCACCAGCAACACCCAGTGATCGGACAAAGCAAAGGGGTAAGGGTAATCGTGTGGTGAACATCAACAGCAGAGTTCATGAGGATGAAAGGCTTTCCCTGATAACCCTGAATTTACAGGTCTTCCTTTTTTAACTGAGGCCCTGACACTGCAGATCTGGCACTCGTTGAGGCCGCTTCATGCCCCGCTGGGTTGGCACCCCTTTGAGTGCATCTCAGAGGTGGCCAGGCCTAGCCTGACAGCCCCCTTTGGCCTCCCTCCCGCCCTGTACTTTGTTCAGTCTTCCTACTTGTCTCCATGTCCTCAGTCTGACCTGCGCTCAGAGGAACGCACAGAGATTAGTGGCCTCTCTGAGTTCAACTAAAAAGACTCATTTAGGAATTATTTAAATCTCTCTGAAGACAATCGAGTCCATTTAAATCGTAACTCATTTTCTTAAGTCTGTTTTTCCTCAAATAAGGCCTTGAAGGAGGTATTAATATATCAAAAGGAAACCATTTAGCTGAGTATTTTTCCTTCTATAACTGGCCACTTTCCCTAGTTGTCTCACCACTCCCCTCCCCTTCCACCAAAGCTCAGATCACTCACAGTCCAAAAGGAACTAAATATTTTTAACTCTTTCCATGCCCTCAATCTGTCATGAATCCTCCTCTCTCTGGCAGTAATAACTCACTGGCTGAAAAGGCTTGACTATCTCCTTGCCCTACTTCTGAATATAAAAAAATCTGCATCTAAGAAGAGCTGCTCCCATCCCAGTCCTGGCATTGACACCTCTTTGAGTCCTCTTTTGGTTCACACACATCACTCTGCAGAGCTTCAGAGAAATGTTGATTTTCATCTTCGCAACTCAGTTAATTCAAACACACACACTTTCACAGCATGGCTACAAACATGGGCACACACACATAACCTACTGTAATGAAGGCACTTGGGATGCTTGTCTCCTTCTTTACAATTGTATAAATACACATTTCCTATAGAGAGCTGTTGTACTGCTTGCATGCTTCCAGAAATAGGCTGAAATCAGTGTGGGACAGAGTTTAATCTCAGTCACAGTCTCCACATCTAGACCTCATGGAAGTCAACAGAGATGTCCGTGTGTAAGAAAAAGGAGAATCAAGAAGAGTAATGCATTTTCAATTAAGTGAAGAATTATGATGCTCTGACAGTATTTAGAAAGCTGGTAGTATATATCCTGTGAGATTGGATTAAGATACAAATAAGCAGCCACAAAGTACAATGTTGTGGCTCTCTCACATGAATTAGTGTTTCATAGGGGTAAACATCAAGTGAATGAGATTCACCAGATGGAGTGTCTTGATGGGACACGGTTGCATCTTTCTCTTATTTTCTCTGACCTATGATTAGGAGTAAAACAGTGCAGCTCTCTAGCATTTATTAATCATCAAAACCAAAGAAATGGCGAGTTCCATTTTTTTTGTCTTTTAAGATATTCATATTCCCATCCTCAAGATTTGTTCTACGACCAGATCTACATCTCACTCAAAGTGATCTAGACACACATCCTTATGGAGTCAAATGATTTCAAGAGTGAGTGGTTTAAGGGAAGAAAAGTGAACTTTCATAACACAGTAAAATCATGCTGACACTGCTGGTGTGATCTTCGTTGGTCTCCCTTTACAGAGCTCCATGCTTGTAGCATATTTAGTGTCAGTCCTTGTTTATATAATTTTGCTCTTCTCTCTTCCTGAAATTTTGCTGAGAACTGTAACTGGTGCAGGCTATCACCATCTATCCAGAGTCTGCCAACCCTTAAGAATGCAGTTGGCTCTACACACATACTCATGCTCATGAGCACTGTCCTGCTGTTTCCCAACAAGAATACAGACATTCATAAAATTAAATCTGCACAAGGCTGCCTTCTGCACAGCAACAGGAATGCGATTAAGAGGAGCTGTACTCAGACACATGCTGTCCCTTCTATATCTTCCAGCCTCCAGGCAGCAGGAGGATGGGCTGAGAGATGAGGCTGAAGCAGAAGCTGGATTCCTTCACAGAGAGAACCAAAGGAAACTAAGTGCACTAGAAAGTGGAAAGCAGGCTGGGGTGCCTGCGTGACAGGAGTGGTAGTTGGGGGGGATCAGTGTGGCGCAGACAAATTGTAGCAGGTTGTATAGGAACCGGTGGTTATTTCAACATCAATTCAACCAGAACAACTCAGACCACATCTAGCACAGCATCAAACAT